AAAATTCGCATTGGCCGCCTATAATCGTTCATACCTTTCAGTTGGTATTTCCCGTCGTGCTGCGTCAGTTGCTATGGTAATACTCATCTTTCCATTTAGATCTTGTATGAACGTCAGCATCTCCAATTTAAAGTTAGTTTATTGCCACACTCGCAATATAAATGTTATTTTCTTTTTAAATCTACACATGTAATAATTATCTTTAATATATTAGTAGAGTATAATTTGTAGGAGGAGCTGTGGCTGTAGTCTTAAGCTGCTATGGCGAACACATGAGCAGCTAATTCAGGGGGGTGCTTAGACTCAGTTCCCCCAGAAGGACACATGCTGCCCATTCTCACAAAACACTGCTGTCTAAAACCAATAGACAGAAAAACAAATTATGCACTGAAAAGAAAAGAGAATGTCAGAATAATCTATGTATTATGATCTGGCAAAAATAGCTCTCCACTTTCAGAGATATATAGCAGAGAAAATCCTAACCAAGTACTGGCCCAGTGTTTGAAAGAGGAAGACAAAAACAGAACTGTGAGAATCCAATGAAAATTTCAAAAGGGATTAAGACAGATGTGTGACTTGTTATCAAGTGTTGCATAACCTATATAAACTGTAACGCTAATAAAGCCATTTGAATTGCATTATTATTGTAATCATTAATATTAACAACGTGTACTTGATATCCAGTGTGTCTACAACACGCGGAATGTTTTCCCCATGAAGATATTACTGTAATGTAAATAAATATAAGTTACTTTCACCACCAATCACGCCACAATAGCAAAGAAAGTAAGGAAAAGCACCAGTAGGGGGCAATCACACACTTCCGCTGCTGCTCCGAGCCTCAAGAGGACAAGAGGAGGAAGAAGAAGGAAGCGGTAGGTACAAACCGAAAACAAAACAGCGAAATGTTCGGGAAAATTAAACCTGTGAAAATTAGGAGTTACAGTGAAAACAGGAAATACGGAATTGCCGCAAAAGATGTGAAGGAACTACTGAAGAAGGCCTGCAATTTGCTACTGGTGAGTCTTGTGGGAATTAGTTAGTTTTTAACAACTTATACGGCTGTTCCGCTTTTTTATCTGAGAGGATGTGACATAAACGTCATCGCTGCTAGTAAACAAAAGAAATTAGGCTTTTATTTTTCCTAATTAGTAGTAACTCGATACGTGATTGGTTTGGTCCCAGATCATCTCCACTGTGAAGAAGATACGACATAAAATAATTTTCGCATCAATTTTAGAGAACTCTGTAAACAGGATGTAAGTGAAAAAGCAACAGTTATGTCACGTTCAGGTCAAAGTGACATGTAGCGTCTACGTTCATATTTCAAGATGCTTTTTTTATTCCGTTTATATTAAATTCTGTTTATGATGGGCTGGGAGCAGAATTCGTTCATTATTAAGTATGGCCTCGGGCACATTTTGTATAAACTCGCTGAAACAAAGAGAAAATGATCTGTTGGTGGAAATCTGTACTGCAGGGATTTGGTTTAATTGGAGTTTACATCGGATAAATAAATCCATTTAATCTGAGCAGACTCTCACAGATGGCTCTCTTATAAAATATGTCAAGTTTAGAGATTAGTTATCTGGTCTAAAAAGCTTCTACTTCTAGTCCACACAACACATTTATCATTGGTATTTTTACCTGTTATGTTCTCCACGAGTCCAGGTGCCACTCTCTGGTGCACGTGTTTGCTTGTATGAGGACGGGACAATAGTGACGGAGGAGTTCTTCCCAACTTTGGCGGATAACACCGAATTGGTTCTTATGTCTAAAGGGCAGACCTGGAGTGGAGGTAGGAGGATCAACACCAGACAAGTTTCTACTGTAAACCTGTGTTTTTATTCTCCCAGTCAGCTAAACTGCTGGATGATTGTGATGTTGCCTAATCTTTATCTGATTTTTAGTTGTGTGTGACATCAGTCAGCTACTCAACACAGACCGGCATGCCGACAGCCTCATTGAAGCAGCGAAGGGGCTCCTCTCTGATGAGAAGTCTTCAAAGAGGCGTAAAATCCTGACAGACCTGCTACAGAACCTGGAGGATAGGTCGGAGCTGGAGGGCAGAGAGGAGGACGAAGACTGGTTCCAAGGTAGCAGCCTTCATCCTCTTGGAGAAGCACTCTTTGTTTTGTTTTAGAGTTCCTCAGACTTTTCCTGTCGTGGCTTCTTTTGAGGTCAAACTCCCAGCCTGTCTGCACAAGACTCAAAGATTACAGTTAGGCCTGTAGGAATTTTGACAGTGACAGTGTTTTGTGAATTTGTCTCTATGTTCCACCACAGTGGATTTTAAAGCAAACAATCAAGATGTGATTGGAGTGCAGACTTTCAGCTTTAATTCAAGGGATTTAACAGGCTTGCTGAGCCTTGACCTATGAGGGTCATAAAGGGTGGAGGCTGCCCTGCCCTACTGCTCTCTGCTGGACTTTGCTACTTCTTCACATGTACTGTGAATAATAATATAAAATATAATAATTAATAAATAAAGAGATTTAAATAAAAAAAAACTAACTTTTGAGCCTCTGAAAATGGAGCTTATGTATAAAAAGGACTCGAATTCCCAAACAGTTAATGCAACACTTTGATCAAACCCCTTGAGATAAAGCTGAAAATCTGCACTTTAATCACATTTTGATTGATTTTAAAATCCATTATGGTGCTGTACATAGGCAATATTACAAATATTGTGTCAATGTAAAGAAATCCCTTTAAAGAAAATCACTATAAGACATGTGCTACTGTTACTAGAGAACTGGGAAACCGTGAATAGATTAAGTCAGTCATGTGTCTTTTTCCAGTATAAAAGCATTGTGAAGACTCAACACCATTATATTTGGAAAAAAATGTTTGAGCAGTGTGACTACGTCTGTATAATTGATCACTTTTTCACAGATGTTTCTCTTGATGTGAGTCTAAATGAATCTGTTGAGCATCTTGTTATTTGTGTTTCTCTTCAGGTGTTGATTCTCGATTTAAAACAAAGTCTGCCTACATGAAGTACAACTGTGAGAGCAGGATACGCGGCTACTTGAAAGAGGTAAACTTGGGAGCCAGGGAACACTCTGTACCTGAGGTCTCTACAGGATTGCTCCACAGTCAGCTGTTCTAACAGTTTGTGTTTTTTGTTGTTTTTGTCAGCTGGATGATGCCACCAAATCCATACAGAAAGCAAAAGTGAGGGCAGAGTTTTTGAAAACCTCCCAGAGCCTCGCAGAAATGCTGAAAACAGCCAAGTATAATGGCTGCTACTTTGACAGGACTGAAAAGCAACCAGATCGCCTTTGTACTCAGGAGGGATGGTTCACCTGCCAGGTACTACAAGAATACAAGCTGTGAGGTATTAAGAGGTCTAACAGAGTTGAATGGGCATGAGAAACAAATGCAGGCAACATGAGTTTTACACTGTCACAGACAGGCTTTTGAGCTCTGAGGGAAAGACTCTTGAATCTGTACAGAGTAGCTGGGATCTGCTCCAAATGACTTGTCCGAGGTTAGTTGTATGTGAACAGAAGAGTCGGAGACAAAAGTGCACTGTGGTGTGAGAATCAGAGCAAAGATAAAAAGTAGTGTTTAACTCGGCTTAACAGTCATTACATTTAAAATGTCTCAAAAATATTAAGTCCAGATGTGCTTCAGACTAAGTTCCTCTTCCTCTAAATTGCGTCCTCAGGGATCATTTGATGAGAAAGTGTGCAAATCTCTTCACTCTATCAACCCCTATGGAAGCCGCGAGGGCAGGATTGTCTTCAGCACTTGGAATTTGGACCACAGGTTCACGCCGCCTTTAGTTTATTTACAAGACTTTTGAGTTTGTTTTTTTGCTTTACATCCTTTCATGCAATTCTTCAATTTGTTTCCAGGATTGAAAAGAAGAGGACAGTTATTCCCGCTCTGCTGGAAGCTCTGCAGAATCACAGGAGCACTGACATCAACCTGAACTACTTCTACCAACTCCTGTTCACGAGGGAAAACCTGAAGCTGGTCCACATCGTCTGCCACAAAAAAGGAGCTCACAACCTGCAGTGTGACACCAAGAAGATCTATACTAATGCCACCAAGGATCTAAAAGCAAAACAGAAGCCCAAAGTAAAGAAACGGCGCATGACTTGAAGTGCTGTGACAAATGAGTGGACTGTGATTTGTTTGATGGACTTGGTAAATAATTAACTCTGAAAAGAACCCATCACATCAGCTGGAAAGGTAAATTTGCCTTTGCAATCTCCTCGACGTAGTCGTGACATTAGCTTCTGAGCTCCAAACCCACCATGCTGAGCTTTAATTTCATATTGGAAGTGATCGACCACACTTAAGAAACCATGAAATTCATTTATTTGTTCACTGTATTGGCACTGTGATGTAAAGTACACAAATTAAGTACAAAGATGATAACGAATCATGCATTTACTGAGAATGCTGCATAAATGTGAAAAGCAAATTGACATAAATAAGGCAGTAAATATATAAAATATTTGGACGGTTTAGAACAGTCATGTAAAAAATACAGGCGACAACATCTAGTGCAATTACTGTTAACCTCTTGATTAGATTACATTTTCACTCAGGTTTAAATTATCCAGTCTTTCAGACTGCAGTCTTGTATGAGGAACCTTTGTTTTGTTTTTTTTAAACAACACTCTCTTACAAATTTTAGAAGAACCCTCTCAGGGAAAATTAATTCATTACATTGATTATGTATTGATACAGATGTTATATATTTCAAAGCTGCCAGAAACGTGAGCACACACACGAGTTGAGGATGAAGAGACACTTGGTGAATTACTTTTATGCAGAAAACTGTTGAAGATGTTCAGCTTACGCAATGAATTTGTGCTATTAAAGCTCTCAGTACAGATGTTCATGCTCCATCCCTCCTCATTACAGACGTGTAATCTAAACTTAGACTGAAATTGTCACTCTGTTGCTCTTGTCAGCATGTAACATTGGCAATTAATCAGTTTATTTGTATGGGAAAACAAAAACTTAAATCCAGCATTTTCTGCTGCGCTCAGGATTTCAATTTTCTACACAAAGTGCTATAAACACTTATGTGAGCATACATTCAGCAATAATTTCACAAACATTACTGCATTTACTCACATTGGCCATTTTCATTTTACTATTGCAGTTATGACTTTTTAAAAATCTAATTACTGATTGAATGCAATGATTGAGCAGGTAGTTTTCTAAGTGCTGAGAGGTTTAATGTCTTTTCACGAGCAGAACTTTCTCAGTTATAAGAGCGGCAACTCTTCACTAAGTGCCCACCCCGTTGTCTTGCTGCACACCGCTAAAATCCACCTCGTCTTCATCGCTGTCCTCTCTAGCGTAGTAATGTCGCCTCCTGTTCTTCCTTTGGGCGCGGCTAGAAGACGAGGATGATCTTTCAGGAAAATCCTGTGGGATGAATCCGTATTTAGAATTCATTTAATGCAACATTATTTTCACCAATTGTGCTGAAGATATAACTGCAGGAATGATGGGCCTAGAGATGTGGTGGGAGTGGGGGGATAAAATCTATGTGTATTGATAAAATTAAAGTTATCAGTGAGTAACAAATCTAACTAGGGGTTGTTACTGCTCTCATATTACTCCAGCCCTGCTTATAAGAGGGTGAAATGTCAGTTTATTTAATGTTAACTGTGAGTGAGACCAGAAAAAGAGAAGGAAAAAAAAAATCAGCAATCACATTTATTTGAGAAAGAATCCAAACCTCAAGGCGAACTTAAAATGTATACGTTAGGGACTCCTGGCACAGTGAGGCTTTTATGTAACAACTCGTGGTCTTCTACTCTGCACATTATTGCCCATCTTGTGTTTTATTAGCAGGAAGAGCCTTTTGGTACATCCAATAATGCACCAATGTCAAGGTCCAAATGTATAACAAGTCTAACATATCTTTCAACTCCCATGTCTATTGCAAAACACCCTAGAAGTGCAGCTTTAAATGAATAGATATGGATGATGATTCTTCTGAACTGATCATCAGTAAGCAGACGTTTTCTTTACCAAACAAAAAAAAAAAAACAACAAACAACCCTGTTTCCCCCAGGAATTAAAACAAACGTGCCTCACCTGTACAGCATCCAAGTTTCCAAAGAACTGCTCCACAGGAAGGATCTGATTACTGTCATCATCTGGGAACATAATTCTGCTTGTTTCTTCATAATCCATATGCTCAGGCTCATATTTGTCCCAGATGCTATTCATTACGCAGCTGTCTGAATCCTGTCCCATCATCAGCGTGTTCTCTTTACCTTCCTGTCCTTCATGCTCTGGTGATGCTGAGCACCTCCTCCTGCCAGAAGACTGGTGGCATTCACAGCTGATGCAGGAGTCTCTCTCCAGAGGACCAGCTGCTTTAGTGTTCCCAACTGCTGAGCTGCTCTCAGATGACGAGTTCGCCATTGGACTTTTCACACATCTCCTCCTTGCAGCAGATGTCTATGATACAAAAGTTAAGGAACAAAGTTAGGATGATGTTGGGGTAACCACAGCGGGACTCCACTTCAGTAATCAGATCCAGTTAATTTGGAGCAACTCACAGCTGTCCGGTGTAGGGGTTACAGCTGTAGGGGTGTAGATAACTATAACTCCTGCCTTTCTTTTTGACTCATCACACATCTGCAGCATTATGTACACAGACAAAACAAACCTTTCTGGAGTTTCTGGTCTCAGAGCTGCTCTTCCTCTTTCTTGGCTTCAAATGATCAACTTCACCAGGCATCTGCAAAGTATCATGATGTTTGTTTATATCAAGTACTTTATTAATGCAATGACATCGTGGGGAAAAAAACAAACTATGGTTTTAGTCAGCTGAGAGGAAGCCGTCATAATGCCAGCGTTTGCTCCTGCTAAGCAGAACATTAGCAAATGTTTTCACTCCACTCAGTAAAAGAAACTAAATTTATCGGACAGCTGTTTAACGGGGACAGTTTTAGAATTTTCGCTTGCATACAGATTTGTCATTTTCCATTTTAAACACTGTCTTAACAAAAAAAAATTTAATAGTGGACAACGTCAATGGATAGCTATAAAGCTGGCTCTGCAGTCCCGCTGAGCTGCTTAAACCCTCCAACAGCACCCCTCTATCCTCCGCCGGCTAAACTCCTGCTAATTTACTGGCAAATTAAAGTCACGTTACTCGTCAACTATGACCCAGTTCTTCCAGTACATCCCTAATCCCTCCAGCGTTGCTTTTTCACATGTAGACGTGCCCGAGCTACGCCGAATGTAAGTCCATAAAAGGCAGCTGATAGTTGAACTGCTAAGACAACACCTGCTCAGCACAGCAGCTAGCTTTCGCCTAGAAAAATCAAAGCAATATCGTCGGAAAATAACCCACCCACCCCCAGTCAAAAATGCCCCGGGTATCATAATGTGAACCATGCTAGTTATGTTGCTAGAACAATGACTCCAGCCGTCTGTATCGGTACAATAACACCAACACGAAGGTCACGACGAAGCTAGGCGTCACTAAACACAACAAAAACGCCTAATTTCGACATCTCGGCAACAAGCTAATGCGGCCAGCTACGAGCTAACAGTAGGAGAGAAAAAAATAACTAATTTGACCTGCCTGCCGGTTTTCTCATTTAATTAAACATGTACTTACCTTATGTATCATTTGCCGGCGTGGATATTTAGGTTTTTCAGCTACGATATTGAAAGTTTACACCACCTTGGGGTTTTCTGGCTTTCCAATCGGCTGGCTTCAACTAGCGACTAAACAACGGCGATAATTTTACGACGTAAGCGCTCCCCGCCGCCTACCCGGTGTATTTCCTGCTGGTGAGGTTCACTCAGAGGTCTGCAGTTTCAATATCAGGACGTCCTCTGCGCCACACTACACCGCCATCGACGCCACCCCGTACTAAAGAGCATTAGAGAAAATAGAGAAAAAAATAAGTATATCTTAAAATGCACGTGTTATTTTATATTTATATATATAATATTAGATTTCTATTACAAAATATATATGTAATTAAAAGTAGTTTAGTTCGAGGGGTTTGTAAATGCTTTTTACTAGATCTATTTTTCTATGTATGTTATTTTCCCCCACTATTTTAATATTTTCTTTTTTGACAAACTTGGCTTTCTCCACTTTTACGCCATCTCAGTGATTCTGCGGGAGTTTTTTCCACCCATCTCGTGACTTGTGCTAATGAAAGGGGTTCTCGTGACACGCTGGTTCACAGTAAGCTCGTATTTCTCCGTGTTATTTTGAGAGATTGGACAATCATACGTAAAATTCCAGTTCACGCCATGTTTCAAAGTTTGGCTTTTGTTTAGCAGTGACGTATGAAGGAGGAGATTCCGGAAGTCGAATGCAGTTCCAATCGATGTCCACAAGATGGCGCAATAAGGTTTTTAAAGAAGCGTCTAATTCTTTTAGTCAGCCAACAGATCACACTGGCTTCGGTTTTAACAGCTATGTAATAATTTAGAACATACAGTTGACTCTGTCCGGTAACAAAACAATAAATAAACATAATTTAGAAATCATTTCATGTTCTGTCATTCATCGAACAGTTCCAGTCAGGAGGCTATTGATTGCCTCCCTCTCCTCCAGAGCAACCGACAACAACACGCGGCAACAGATGGTGGGGCCCCACGGATCTCGGCGTCACGAACTCCGTGTGGGATTGTTGTACGTTAGGAGACAGAAATGACCGAGACAGCTCGAGGAGGGCTGTAGTCCAGTATTTCTCACCTAGCACTGGAATTAAAATTGGACTGTCAAACTTCTTTAGAAAATCATCATTGCTGTTCCTTTATAAACGCTTTGGTGTTTGTTTTATTCCTCACACGTAGATGGTTGTTGAATTATTTCTGAATCATTGCGTTGTATTTTAGTTCTGTTTTCTATCACTTGTAATCATGAAAATTAACGCGGATTAAAGGAGCTACTGATATTTAATATTAAGAATAAGATAAGGTTGTGGTGGCTAGTGGATCGCAAAACCTGGTGAACAGTGTGTGTGTGTGTGTGTGTGTGTGTGTGTGTGTGTGTGTGTGTGTGTGTGTTAGACAGAGAGAGAGAGAAATGGGATATCTGCCGGTCCCAGATCAGTTTAGTTCATTAAGGGGAGGAGATATTTGGGGGGTGGGGTGAGATAGTGGTATCCTCCATCAGGTCTCCAGATAGTCTGTGTGGAGCCAAACCCTGAGAAGAAGCTTCGGGACGAACTAGACAGCAAAAGGGACGAATGTGTGACTTCACTCTGCGCTGTCATGGTCAAGAAGTGGCCAAGGAGACACTTGACTGAGCGCTCTTACCCGGTGTCTTCCTGAGGTGCGCACAGTTGTGAAACATTATGAAGGCATCTGAGGGTCCCAGCGTGTCACGGTGACAGCAATGGATCACTTTTTTCGTAGAAAGCGGATCCCCGCTTTTCTGAAACCTCTGTTGAGTCTGTCTCTGATCTTTGCGTCTTTTCTCATGATCCAAAAGCTGAAACTGTCGGAGAAAGACGCAGTGGGGGTTAAACATGTGAGGGATCCGGCCTGGTGCGGCTCTGAGTGTTTTTCATTCAAGAAGACAGTTCTGACCAGTTCGGGGACCTCAGATTCTCCCGTGTCCGTCAAGGATTTGGAGATACAGCGGGTCCCGAATGTAACTCGGTCTTCTTGGGACGCGCAGGTTCTCAACTGTAGCGCGGACGCATCGGTGAGGACCCAGGACTGGTTCCGGCGCTTGGACCAGAGATTTCACCAGTTTGTGCTTCACAGACACTGCAGGTATTTCCCCTTGCTCATCAATCACCCGGAGAAGTGCGCCGATAGAAACGTTCACCTCCTTGTGGTGGTCAAGTCCGTTATCGAGCAGCACGACCGGAGGGAGGCCGTGCGTAAAACCTGGGGGAAGGAGCAAACCGTGAATGGGAAGAAAATTAAAACTTTGTTTTTACTCGGAAGCCCAAACACTGGCAAAGACGCCAAGAACCTACAGAAACTGATCGAGTATGAGGACCAAATCTTTGGGGACATCCTGCAGTGGGACTTCATGGACACTTTCTTCAACCTGACTCTGAAAGAGGTAAATTTTCTCAAGTGGTTCTATATCTACTGCCCCAAAGTGCAGTTTATATTTAAGGGGGACGATGATGTGTTTGTGAACACGCACAACCTCCTGGAGCTCATCGACTTCAAAGTGGAGCAGCGCAAAGCGGCCAACTTATTTATGGGGGACACCATCTCCAAGGCGATCCCCATCCGAAACCGACAGAGCAAATATTACATCCCCAAGGAGTTGTACGACAAGCCGTATCCACCCTACGTGGGAGGTGGGGGGTTTCTGATGTCCGCCTATTTAGCCCGAAGGCTCTTCGTGGCCTCGGAGGGCGTGGAGTTGTACCCCATTGACGATGTGTTTTTGGGGATGTGCCTGCAGAGGCTCCACTTATCCCCAGAGATGCATCCGGGCTTCAGGACATTCGGCATTACCAGACGCAGGGCGAGCACAATGAACACAGAGCCCTGCTTTTATAAAAACCTAATCGTGGTCCACAAACTGAGCGCGCAGGAGCTGCTCAGGATGTGGAGCGTGGTGCACAGCCAAGACCTGATCTGCGCACAAAAAACTTCGATATGATTGACAGAAAGTATAAAGTAAATGCATTCACTAAATCTGAGCTCACGGAAAGTCTTCTTTGGCCGATCATACTTGATTATCTTTACGCAATCTGCGGAGTCACGTTAATTTTTCCTTTACCGTTAGACATGGAAGATGAACTGAATTTAATACTGTGTGTCACATTAAAACGGTTGATTTGTTTTCAGCTGACTCGGCAGGTTGGCGCTCTCCTCTCCACTTCTGTATGGGTTGATTTTCCGTTTTGTAAAAACCACTAGAGCACAGCTTTTGCATTGTGAAAGCATCTGTGTTTCTGTGCCATTCCAGACTGTATTGCCTTAATCTGAATTTTAAAACGTATTTAGAAACGTAGATGTAATAAACCCACGGGTGTTCGTGCAGGTGCGAAAAAGACTGACTTGTTACATCCAAGTGTTTCCCTTAAGCTTTCTTTTCCGACTTCAGGATTTCATTGCAACGTTCAAGTGCAACATGCGACTACATGATTTACAGCATAGAACACACAGCTGCATTCATATTTGAATGATTATTTTATTGAATAGAAATTGTAAATTGTAAAAATCTAATTATGGGTATTTTAAAGATAATATATTGGTTCTGTTTTACCTTGTTTTGTAAGATTTACAGAGGCAGCCTTGAAACCAAAGAAACCACATGTGTAACACTGTAAATTCATGTGTGTTAGTGTCAATAAAACCAGAGCTCTCTTGTAAACACTGAATAACGTTGCAAAACTTGATTGATATGTGTTTTATATTGCTCAACAATAATCCTGGAAGTTGGACACTGCCCATTTTTTTAATACACAGGGGGCTCCTAAACAGAGCCGTGTATTACATGTAACTTTTATGGGGAATTTTGATTACATGGAAGCACATGTGCAATAATCCCTGAATAATGATTTATTTAACAAATACATCTGCAGAAAAAAAGAAGTCAAAATGCTGTTGACTACAAATGCATGAACACAACTTTTACATCTACTTTTGCTGCAGCTCTCGGTACAGAAGCATACTAAAGCAAGTTGTTTCCCCACTAAATACAACATACGCTCACATTAACTTTATTACCGTTTCCAGATACATCACAATCACTTTGTCGTCATCATAACACTGTGCAGAACAACAGGAGCACAACTGAAGAGATAATTATAAACCAGGCTTAATGTTATATGTAGGATTTAACTTTTTAGCTTGTGATTCTATCAGTTTGAAGCCAGTGATGTGATTCTGAACACTGGAGGGAAAACCATGTGGTGTACATACAGTATGTAGCATATTCATGTCCACTTCTTTCCTCATTCTAGCAGTGCTGTTTCACTCAGAGACCTACTTTGTCTCATTTTACTTCTACTTCATACTATCAGTAGGCATTGTGGAGGGAAGTAAGTCACTGCAGTGTGCTAGAAATTCAGCAGTAAAACATCATCCTTTGGCAAAGTGCTATTTCTATATAGAATTCTTATAAAAGGAAAGCAAATATGTAAACAGTTGGCTAAGTGTGAAGTCGACAGCAAAGCTTCCCTCAAAGCAAAGAACATCTTCTGCTTGTAACTAAACTGTGATCTCGTTCCGCCTCCTGTTACTGGGTGTGCAAGAAGGTATGAGTCATCGTCTTCTGAAGGGATGTAGCAATTAGACATATTTTTACTGAAACTGCGACGGTTACCCATAGAAGTTTCTCAACCCATTCATCTGGTGTAGTCCGATTCTACACAAGAAACTGTTGATTTTAGTTCCATGGGACAGCTAGCTATCTGCAAGGTGGATGGATCAGAGGATGAAATCTTAAAAGGTCCAAACTTGCACTAGCACATTTACATAGATGAAGGCAATAAGCCTCTTCAAACTCTACAATTTGAAGGTTAGGATAAAATAAATGTTTACATGCTACACTTGTTTGTTTGTTTTTTAGGTGTGAGAAAATCATTGCGATAGCACGTTTATACGCGAGAGCTTGTACTGCAGTTTAAGGATGTATAAATTATAAATTGCAGATAACCACTCAGAAACTAATCATAAAACCTCACTACACTGGTTGCATTATGAGGGGTCAACTTCTAAAACACAAGCCTAAAGTTCTATCACCCTGTACACTGCTGCTTTACCTTTACACAAACTCTGTTTAAAATCCATCTTGTGAGTCACACAAAGTCACAGTTGGGAAGTGCGGTCCAACAGTGAGGGACTACCCGTTAAAGCTGTACAATTCCTCTAAATGGCAGTGAAAAAAAGAGCCTCAAAACCAACAAATCCTATAAGGGGATTTCAGCAAACAGCACTGTGTGCCTATGTTT